TCACAAATGTTACCAGAAGTGTTTTTGTGGCGGCATGTTTACTTTTGGCTATAGAAACATAGCTGTAGTGCTCCACCGCCCTATAGTGAGGCGTGTCTAATGATACCCTTGTAGGCCTACAGTTCAATATCTTATATCAGTTAGGAATAGTAAAATGGTAATTTTTAAACTCTTTTGTTAAAGTATAGAGTTATTTTTTGTATAAAAGTATAAAGTTGATATGGTATAGTATAAAGTACTTTTAAAACCTTTCGCCAATGCTGGCGTTCGCCTGGCGAAGCTTCGCCAGGCGAACATCGGAGTGAGGGAGGCCTTACTTTTAAACCCAAGGCAGGTGTTCGCCAGGCCTGGCGAACGAAAGGATCGCCAGGCGCTAACATCTTGGATTCCTGCTAAATCTAGCGCTTCGACGAATGAAACAAAACGCGAGAAAAAGCAAAAGGTTTTAAAAGTACGGGCCATAAAATTAACCTTGTTATAGTATAAAATGTAGTATAGCATAAAGTATAAAGTTAATTTTGTTATAGTATAAAGTTATTTTCAACTTCTTTGTTATAGCATAAAGTTAAATTTTAACTCCTTTGTTATAGTATAAAGTGAGACTATTGCGGAAACAACATTTTCGTCTTCTCTCGAGGTTAATAATTAAGTTTAGGTTATGTTATGTGCACTGCAGATGTAAACAAATTTGCGCTAGATTTAGCGGGAATGCAAGATGTTAGCGCCTGGCGATCCCTTCGCCCGCCCTGGCGAACGTTGGGTTTAAAAGTAAGGCCTCCCCCTTTTCGCCCGCGCTGGCGAAGGACTGTCTTTAGGGTCGCGCCCCAAAGAAATTGGGAAACACTGGTCTATAGGACGCCATACCAGGTTGGAAAACACACAGATGCTCGCAGTGACGCTGATCTTGAGTCGCAACTTTGATCATTTTTATTCGCACCCAGTTTTCTTTCCGGATATTTGAATTCTAACATAACACAGCAGAACAAAACAAAGTCCATCCATATTTAAAAACAAACGGAAATAACAATCACTTGATTAATGTCACTTCAGAACATCGTATTAAAAGTGAAGAACTATCGCTGTTGCTCGCACCATAAATTGTCGCTGCTCGCTACGACGCCTCCATATATTTTCCAACCAGGATGCCGTACATTCTCCTCACTCTCTATAAACTCTAAGATTTGTCTCATCAATTTATCCTTGAAAACCCCCATTTCCGCTTTACACTCCCGCTGGAAATATTACCCCTGTTCTATTCTATATCCTATTTCCTTCTACACTCACCTCTACCAATTCTTATTCTGTTTCCTATTCCCTTCTACATTCACATTTACCAATTCTTATTCTGCTTCCTGTTTCCTTCTACACTCATATCTACTAGTTTTTATTCTGTTTCCTATTCCCTATTCTACATTCACATCTACCAATTTATATTATGTTTCCTATTTCCATCTACACTCATATCTACTATTTTTTATTCTGTTTCCTATTCCCTACACTCACATCTACCAATTCTTATTTTGTTTCCTATTTCCTTCTGCACTCCCATCTGCCCATTCCTAATCCGAATCCCTTTTCCTCGTGTGTCGCAGCTCTCAAGTTCAGGACGCCTCTTCAGCAGCAGGAACAGAGCACCATGTTCCTCTTTTCCTTCCGGAGAGCCGAGCCCGAGGCCAAGAGGGCGTCGTCGTGCATGGGCCGCTCCCTGCTCGAGGCTTCGAAGATCTTCATGAAGAGGTTCGTTTAAAAGAGGATTGGTGTAATTTATTTATACCTCTTTTTGTTGTTCTCTTTTTATTGCTTGTTTATTATTTTTTCTTCTTTTTTTATGGATCATGAAAATGTTTGATCGAAAGTTAGAGGAGTGGTGTTCTTTTTTTTTTTTTTTGACAGATTTTATTTTATTTTTTTGGTCTCAGATCCCTTCTTTCTCTTATTTTATTTTATTTTATTTTTTTTGCTGTTGATTGTTTTTGTTCTCTCATTTCTTTTTAGTTCAACCCTTTATTTTTGTTCGGTGTGATTATCAGTCTTCATCAGTATCATGCATTAAGTATCATCACCTCGAGCGATGCCTTTGTGAAGTCCAAAGGGGAATCGCTGGAAACATTTTTTAAAGGAGGTGGTATAGCTGGCAATAATTATGTCACGGACTATATCCAGTGGAATTGCCGAGGACCACCACCGTATAAAAAATAACAGCACTAAAACAAAACGAAGATAGCAAAACCACGACAGAAATTCTTTCGTCTTCGAAAGTTTATTGTTGTATTTCCGAGGGTTTTTAACGATTTTTCTTTTTTTTCTTATTATTATCTACTTATTCATTTTTTATAAGCAAAGTCGTTTTCCAGCGTTTATACACCATGCTCAATATAGTGGTTACCATTATACATATGAACGAGGCAAACGAAACACACACTATCAAAACATCGTGCGACCGCCTCAGATTAGAAACTTTCTACTCTGACGCTTTATGAATGAATTGGCCAGAGTCAGG